ACGCTCACTACAGGTGAGCAGTAAAGTGGTCCAGATGAAGAAAACCTTTAAGTAGACAAAATAAAAACGGGTGTAGATAGTCATAGGAAAAAAAATAAAGTAAAAAATAATAAAGCAATATAAAAATAAGCCATAGAAAGATGGGAAATGTATAGGGAGTTTGCTAAGAGACACTGGATTATGGAAACTGCTAAATTAAACCAACCTATATAATTTTTAAAATGTCTCACCTCCAAAATGGAAGTCAGAAAATAGGCTGGACTGGGGGAAGGTTATGCCTTTCTTTCTACAGGTAACAGGAAGTTATGGTTCTCTTCAAAATCAATGACGATCAGATTTGATTGGGGAAGATGTCTTAAATCCTTGGCTACAAACATAAAAGAAAGAAAAAAAACTACAGAACAGGTCGTGTATATGCTGATCCCCCTACTACGGGAACAGCTCTAAGACTGGTGAGACATGATAAATCTTGTTGGCTACAGTTTGGGTACGCAGCCCAAGTGGACTCAGAAAGTTGACAGATGCCTTTTACCTGCTCAAACACAGAATAAAAAATCATCTTTTACTGACTTGTGCACATCACACATTCCATACTTATGTTAATATAGATATATATGTTACCTTTAAAAGTTTGTGTTTTCAGAAAAAAAAAGGACTAGACACCAATGAAAACAAGTAGCCCAGGCTATCCAGCCTGTCAGAGTGCCTCTGTTGCAGTTTCCTCAAAATTCTGTATCCAGAACAACTTCAAAATTGCTAGTTGAGATGGTCCAGCCTCAGACTCCTCCAGCCAGGACTTCAAGTCCTGCACTTTCCCATCAGCAAAGACTGGACAACAAATGACGTAACTAGCTCTCCCAGAACTTGACCATTATCCCAACTATCTCAGGGTCCTCTAAAATTCCACTGCCCCCCAGACAATAGGAAGCAATTTTAAGAATACAATGCCCACATTCCCAAGGGATGGGGTAGGTGGGTTTTAGTTGGTTGGTGGATTTTAAATGTCTGTCATCATTTAAGGAGGGTGGGTTTCAAATTATTACTGGTTAGAGTAAGGGAGAAAATTTAGCAAGGAGGTTAGATTCAGGGATCTCTTTCTGAAAAGAAAAATGCCTCCCCCTTTTTTTTTTTTTTTTTTTAATAGAAATGATAGGAAAAGCCAGTCAGTGGTGGTGCATTCCTTTAATTCCAGCACTCAGGAGACAGAGGCAGGTGGATCTCTATGAGTTAAAGGTCAGTCTGGTCTAAAGAGCAAGGTTCAGTACAGGCTCCAAAGCTACACAGAGAAACCCTATCTCGAAAAACCAAAAAAAGGGAAAGAAATGATAGGAAAATGGGTAGATTATTGAATCTACTTTTAAACACAAACAAACAAAAAACATTAGTCTTAAATATTTTACATTGGTATGAAAATTTATATATTGATACAAATTTAAGGCTATTTTTGTTATATTGTATATATGTTTCTACTGTTGCTTAAGGTATTGTACCTAGTGGTTTGAAGTTTAAAAGATTGTTTTAGGATGGTATTACAAGGTATGATATAAAATGGTTTAAGTATAAAACTTTAAATAATCAAGATAAGGTAGATAATACAGGATTTTTTTCCAAATATGCAAGTTACAAATGGACTGGACATTGTGAATATAATTCTTACCTAATAACTGTTTTTACTAAATATATTTTTACTATTAGAGTTTTTTTACTATTAGAGTTTTTTCTTTAAAAAGAAAAAAACCTTTCCTTTTTATTTAGACAAAAATGGAGAAATGTGGGATATTCGTATACTGAATGAAGATATATTGTTGTGATTGGCTTAAAGCTTAGCAGTCAATAGCTAGGCAGGAGGTGTAGGCGGGACTTACAGGCAACGAGAGGCTTCAAGGGGTTAGCTGAGGCTGGCAGAAAAGACACCAATGAGACATGGAGAAGAGTCAAACATACAGAATGAAAGAAAAATAAAAAGCCACATGTTAAAAAGTAGATTAATAGAAATGGGTTAATTTAATTATAAGAGCTAGTTAGGAATGAGCCTAAGCTATAGGCTGAGCGTTCATAATTAATATTGTCTCTGTGTTGTTTTGTGAGCTGACAGTCCTAAGAAAAATCCATCTAAGGGATTCCTCAAACAACTGTCAGTAACTCCAGACTCAGAGGATTCAAGGGCACCAGGCACCAATTTGTTACAGACAGGAGGAGACAAAACCACCCTACACATAAAATAAAACAAACATATCTTTTAAAAAAGCTACAAAATCACATGTCCTGCACAAAAATAATCAGACTTCTTCCTTTCTTATTTATAACCCTGTTGATCTGTTTGTTGTACTATTACTCTGGCCAACTATCCCAATACTGTAGAAGAAGGACTTAGTCACGGGGCATCCTCAGTTACGTAACACTACCTACCAATAACTCAAAGCAAACCAGATGAAGCGCCTTTCCCATGAACAACAAGTCATCCCCACGGATGTTTTCTGTGTGAACTGTAGTCACATGGGACTGTACAGGCACAAGAAAGACTCTCACTCAACCAATTAACAAGTTTTTTTGCTATCTCTTGGTACTCTGACTTCCACGTGTTCTTTATCTGTGTAGTGTTATATGCTCTGGGACCATCTTCATATACTTTGTATGTAATCTACTAGTAACCTACAATTAGATTACCTAATAGACAATTTGAAATCTATCCACTAGTAATCTACAGTCAGATACCTAATAGACAATCCAGATCATCTCGTTTCCGTGTAGCAAAAGAAGGTCACGCCAGTTAAGAGAAGGATACAGTCCTGTAACTGAGCCTACAGACGTCTGCACCTTCTGCCCAAGCACAGAAGCAACAGCGGTGAGGCGACTAGTAGAGACCCAGAGCCTCACAAAGAACAAAAGTCAGAAAGAGGGCGCTGTGGAGGGGTAGAATTTGAGCTCTGGTTCTGGCTTCTAGAGTCTACGTCCCAGTAAAGAGAGCACAGCACCAGGATAACGGCAACTAAGCACAGAACCTAGATCACAGGTGAGGTCAGAAGCAGGAATCTAGGAAGAGACATTAGTAAAGGCAGGCTGTGACTTGCTAAGAATTAGAAAAAGAACTGCCCCTGTAGAAAACTCAAAGTGAAACAGATGAAGCATTTTTACAATGACAAAAAGCTATTCCTATGGATGTCTGCTATGTGAATGGTGACCGCACACGATTCCTATGGATGTCTGCTGTGTGAACGGTGAGTCGCACACGACTCCTACAGATGTCTGCCGTGTGAACAGTGAGCCACACGGGATCCCTGCGGGTGTCTGCCGTGTGAACGGTGAGCCACACGGGATCCCTACGGGTGTCTGCTGTGTGAACAGTGAGCCACACAGGATCCCTTTGGGAATATTTACATGGGAAATGGTAACAAAATTTTCAACCTAATACAAACAACAAGCTTTTGAATCATTACTCATCCCCACGTCAACATTCTAGTCCCTCTCTATGAGCTGTCGAACTTAATCAAGTCTACCCAGCTCCTACTGCAATCTCCATTTATAGTCTGAGCTCTGTGAACAAGGACGGGCACGAACACAAACGGGGTCCAGAGGGGACTTCAGCTGGAAAGCAAAACTGTGAAGGCGATGAATCAGGGACGTAGAAACAAAAGGTCATATTTTTGGGCTCAAACCAACTAGAAATCCAGAGTTTTTCACTCAGTTTCCAGCAGGAACACTGTCCTGAAACAAATGGGACCTGCTTCACTGAGACCCAGGAGATGCTCTGGGAGATGCAAGAGAGAATCCCAGTTACCCTGGACAACACGAGCCCACACGTTCATCCAGATTGCCGAGACAGAGTTTCATGTGGAAGGGACGGACACACAGCCAAACTGCAGGGCTATTCCCCAGCACCTGCAATCTCTGCAACCGAACTCATAACGGGTAACTGGAGGGCCCCTCATTTCCTCCCTAAAGGTGGGTGATCTTGAGCTTGAGTGGTAGTCCATCTTTTTTCGGGTTTTTGACAAATGATTCAGCTAAGTTTTCTTACCAGTTCAATGGGCAACAACTATGAACTGTCCTATGTGCCCCTTCGTCCCAGTGTAAGGTCCTCGCACTTGAGTGCACGTTGCTGGCTTCCCTCAGTAACAACTACCCTGTCTGGATTCAAAGCAGAGCCCGAAGCCTGGCTTGCTAAAGTTAGTTCCTAAGCACCTAGAGCACATGCAGGGGTAAGACTCCATTCTTCTGATACCTGGACCCAAACTGGACACAAGAAAAATCACCACCACCACCACCTTCATCATCATCATCTTCTTCTTCTTCATCTTCTTCATCACTACTGTCCCCAGAAAGTGCGAGGAAGAGGAAGGAGAAAGGACTGTCGTACATACTACCACAACAAAAGCAGAGAAGGGCATCAGGGAAGAAAGGAAGTGAGAGGGAAGACGCTGCCGCAGCGCTGTCGTCTGGAGGCAGTCTCACACTGAAGCTGCACTGACATGCAGAAACACGGTCCCCTGAAGTACATTTGAGAGAGGGGGCCACCGGACTCGAGGGTGCTGCTGCTGCTGCTTTCTGAGAGACTGGAATCACATGCAGTCAGACGTCAAGGCATAAGGCATGACTAACAGAGAGAGCAGACCCTGTCCAGTCCACAGTGTCACTCTGTGAGCCCCAGTTCTCAAATGCAACACTGACCACAGTCTCTGAGATTCATTTATAATGAGAAACCCATGAGCTAGGTCGCAAAAAAATGCAATTCTATGGTTTTTGTACAGACGACAGGATGAGAAGGACGGGAAGAAAAGAGCGTACAACACTGCAATCTTCACTTTCTCATGGGCCAAAGCCTGGTAGAATCATGGAGGCAGGGCACATGCCCACCAGAGAGCTAGCGAGCGACACAGGTTAATAACCCAATGACTCCCAGAACTCAACTGAGGTCAGTGCCACACAGCAGTTCTTTCCAAACGTGTTAATTTCTTTCCCTGCACTGCAAACACACACACAGCTCTCCTGCAAATAAATACCTAGGAGAGGTCCGCAGGGAGGAGGGACGTCTGCTGGCAGCACTGGGCGAGCCGGGTGGGAAGGCGGGGCCCCTGCTGCGGGGTCTCTGTCTGTAGGAGCTGACAGGTACTGCTCGGGGACTACTTGGGCGGGCAGGGAAGCCTGAGGAGTTAGCCTGAATTGAGGGTCGTGGGGTGGGGCAAGGTGAAGAACCCCATGGGTGCATGAGAGTGTAGGGTCGATACCTCGGGGATGAGGGTTGGCTTCCAGCCACAGTTCCCGAAGTTGCACTGTGAGGGCTGAGGGATGCGGGAGGCACAGCCACCTGGGGGGCTGCACTGTGAGGACT